GGAGACTAGCAACAGCACTTTGAAAATGAAATTAAGGAAACAGTTACATTCAAGTAACAGCAATAAAAATCTAATGCTTAATGGTAAATTTGGCCATTAACAGATTAAACATATATATTGAAAGCTAAAACAGTAAGGAAAAAAACCCAGGAAGTCATAAACAAATTGATACATTTGTATCATTGGATGAATCAATATTGGTAAGAAGGCAGTTCTTTACAAATTAATCTAAATACAAATAGATATTTTTGTAGCTATCTATTCTGTGGTTTAATAAAATAAATTAGAAATCAATAAAAATAGCCAGATGTTTAAAAAGTTTCCCTTTTTACACTTTCTTGGTTGTAATTATATGTATGTGTGTGTGTATGCATATGAACACACACACACACACATATATATATATAAAGCTGAATTATTATTTTAACAGTATAGAAATCCTCAATGCTGTGGAAGTAGCAGCAAGAGTCACTTATCTCTTTTTTTCTTGTTTAAAGATTTATTTATTTATGCTTACAGAACTGGGGTACAGGCCAGAGGTATGATAGGTGAGAGGATTCACCAGAGACAGAGTAGGGGACAGAACAGGCAGATCAACTAAGTACACTGCTGAGGGGAGCAGTGGGCGGGTCAGAAGAGGTCTGCCACGCCATGTAGTTCAGCTCTCTGGCAGGGGATTGAACTCCTGCTGCAGTGGCTTCAGAGAGCTTCATAGTGCAGTGCTTTAACCTGTTGTACCACTAGGGAGAGCCTCCCTTCATCCATCTTTAAAGTACCTAAACCTAGTCTGCTTTTTGCTTTCCTCCCCTTTTTTCAGGTTTTTTCCTTTCTTCATTTTATTATAAATAGTGCTGTAATGAAAATCCATGTACATGAATATTTATGTTTCTCTCTAACATTTTTTTTTAAAGATTTATTTATTTGTGCATACAGAACTGAGGTACAGGCCAGAGGCTCAGGGGCGGTGAGAGGCTTCACCAGAGACAGAGCGGGCAACAGAACAGGCTGACTGATGAAGTACACTGCTGAGGGGAGCAGCGGGCGGGTCAGGAGAGGTCTGCCACACCATGTGGTCATGTCCGGAACAGACGGGAATCGAACTCATGCGGAAGCGGCTTTAGATTCTCAGTGCTGTGCTTTAACCCACTGCGCCGCCAGGGAGGGCCACTCTCTCTAACATTTTTTAAGGCCAAATTCCTTGAAATGGTATGGCTAACTAAAGAGAATTTAAGCATTGACATTTTTTTTTTAATGTAAATTGCCTTCCAAAAAAGTCCTACCAGTTAATAAACTCACCACATTTTTCAATTTACTCTTACAAAACTGCCTGTTGCCTTCCTTTTTGCTGTTAGTATATTTGCACTTAGAAATCTTACTGATTTTCCTCCTTTATAGGCTAGAAATTCGGATAGATTAATTTGTTAAAATTCTAAGTTGCTGGTGATTAAAGCTAAAGTCCAAGGAGACCCGCTTTTACTACAGTATAAGTAGACTTTAATATACAACTTTTTGTTTGCTTATTAACTTTTTCTGGATAGGTAACTGGATGGTAGTGGACTGAAGATAAATTGTTATTGTACAATTGTGTTCACATTGCTTTGGGGTAGCATGTTTTCAATTGTAGCCCAGTTTTATACAAAGATATAGCTTTTAAAAATCCCCCGTACTACCAGGAGGAAATAATAATAATAGTAATGAACAACTATATACCAGAGACATTTTACAGGGGTGGAGTGGGGGAGTAGTGCACTGGACTGTGGTGATTGCACGTGCATGAATTGGTGGTGGGAAGCCCACCGGAATTATAACTGAGATGGGAAAAGACACAAAATGATGTAAAAATAAACTATCATATTAAAAAGAAATCCCCTTACCACCCTCAAACCCTTTTCTCCTATTTGCATATATTCCCTGACATTCTACCATAATGGTAATATTTTAAAATTATAAAACATTTTTTATATTAATCAAAGCAGACAATTCGCTTGCAGAGATATATCTAAATGAATTTGAAGTAGGAACTCACTCAGATAAGGTGTATATCAGTGTTTATACCAACATTATTTATAAGAGCCAAAGGGTAGAAATAGTCCACATGACCATCAGCAGATGAATGGATAAGTACAATATGGAATGCACATATAATGGAATACATGTCTTTAAAAGGATGAAATTCTGATATCTACCACAACATGAATAAAACATGCTGAATGAACTAAGAACTAAGCTGACCTAAAAGGACAAGTATTGTATAATTCCTTATATTGTATAATACCTTATATTAGGTACCGGGAATAGACAAATTCACAGAAGCAAAGTAAGAGATTACCAAAAAAATGGGGAACTACTGTTTGATGAGTGGGTTGGGTTGTTTGTAATGATGAAAACATTCTGAAAATGAGTGGTGGTGATGGTTGCACAACATTGTGAATATACTTAATGCCACAAACTGCACTTAAAAGTGGATAAAGTGATGCATCCTATGTTATGTATATATTACCGTAGTAAAAGAGGTACAGATTCTTCTGGTTCAGGTAGGACTTCAGAACTTTAATATAAATGTTTTAAACATCTCTTTGGAAATAGATTTTGATAGATACAGAGAATGTTTATTACCAGTGTAGGGAAAGGCCTCTGGAGAAGATAGCATTGCCTGCATTTAGTTAGCCAATGGACACTAGAGTAAGTTTATCCTTTTATTTCTCACTTCTAGGCTATCCATCCAGGGTATGGCTTCCTTTCAGAAAACATGGAATTTGCCGAACTATGTAAGCAGGAAGGAATTATTTTTATAGGTCCTCCTTCATCTGCAATTAGAGACATGGGGATAAAGAGGTGAGAGTACAACTTTTTAAATACAACCAGATAAAGATCAATTGAAATGATTTATTCTACCTATAAAAATATTTAGTCACCATTTTAGAGGTCAACAAAAAATATTCAATTAATTACTATTTCTAATATATTAACTCTGGGGATTGGTTGCTGTGTTTTTTTTTTTTTTTTTTTTTTTTTAAAGATTTATTTATTCATATAGAACTGGGGTACAGGCCAGAGATGTGGAGGGTGAGAGGATTCACCAGAGACAGAGTGGGGAGCAGAACAGGCAGATCGACGAAGTACACTGCTGAGGGGAGCAGCGGGCGGGTCAGGAGATGTCTGCCATGCCATGTGGTCACCTCCGGGGCAGGCGGGAATCGAACTCATGAGGAAGTGGCTTTTAGATTCTCAGTGCGGTGCTTTAACCCGCTGTGCCACCAGGGAGGGCCGATTGCTGTTTCTAATCAACATTAATTAGCTAGGTGGGATGGCTTGAGGAATTCTAACTACTTGATATTTTTGTATTTGCTGTCTTAAACTATAATTTACCTAGGGGAAGTTATATTGTAAAAGTTCTATTGTTTTTTGCAAAGAATACAATGGACTGTGTTTGTGCTTCTCTTCTATGAAATAATTCATAGAATTGGCATCTTCTGGTTTTGTTTGTCTTATTTTAAAGCACCTCCAAATCCATAATGGCTGCTGCTGGGGTACCCATTGTGGAAGGTTATCACGGTGAGGACCAATCGGACCAATGCCTGAAAGAACATGCTGGAAGGATTGGTTACCCAGTCATGATTAAAGCTGTCCGTGGTGGGGGAGGAAAAGTAAGTTTGGTGTGCTCAGATTTTCCATTAAAACCAATCTTCTTTGCTCAATTACTTTTTGAAAGATAATTCTCATCCCATCTTAGGGTATGAGGATCGTTAGATCTGAAAATGAATTTCAAGAACAGTTAGAATCAGCTCGCAGAGAAGCCAAGAAGTCTTTCAATGATGATGCAATGCTGATTGAGAAGTTTGTGGATACACCCAGGTGGGTTTGTCATTTTTTCTGACTCATATTTTAAAAATTAAATTATGAAAGAAATGTATACACTTCGGGGCCACCCTGGTAATGAGGTGAAAGCACAGTACTGTGAAGATATCTACAACCACTGCAGCACGAGCTAGATCCCTGGCCAGGGTGGTGACCCACATGGCACAGCAGACCTCTCCTGACACATGCACTGCTCCCCTCAGCACTGTACTTCAATCAGTCTGCCTGTTCTGTTCCCCACTCTGTTTCTAGTAAATCCTCGAACCACCCCCCTCCTCTGGCTATTCCCCATATTTATGCATACATAAATAAATCTTAAAAAAAAAAGAAATACATATACTTTGTATAGAATATAAAGTCCTGTATTATAGAAACACATTAAATTTTCCTATCCCACCCCCTGGTTAAAGTATGGTAGACATTCTTCCAGGCACCTTCTTTCAGAACCTGGAGTCCCTGCTCTAATATCTCCTTCCTTGAAGTAGCTAGAAGATTGGGGACAGTCAGTGGAAATGGTAGAATTTTACAATTAGAATTTGAATTAACTTGGAAGTTGTGAATCATATTTGAAAAGCAAGTAAAAAGCCGAACAGGATGACAGCCAGTAACTTTTTTTTTTTTAATGCATACAGAACTGGTGTACAGGCCAGAGGTGCATTGGCAGTGAGAGGATTCACAAGAGACTGAGTGGGAAGCAGAACAGGCAGATCAATGAAGTACATTGCTGAGAGGCGCAATGGGCGGTTCAGGAGAGGTCTGCCACGCCATGTGGATCACCTCCTAGGCGGGGATCAAACTCATGTGGAAATTTGTGGAAGTGGCTTTAGCTTCTTAGTGCTGCGCTTTAACCTGCTGAGCCACCAGGAAAACTAGTAACTTTTATATCTATCAGAGAAACAAGGCTACAGGGTGAGCCACCACCCCAAAGTCTGATGAGTATGTTAATATAGCAAATCATAGCTGAGATAGTTCACTTGGAGTAAAAATTCATAAATTGATAGGAACATGTAGGGAAATTTCACAAATTACTGCAGGTTAAGTGTTGGCTAGCATGATAGTGAGAAACACCTTGGAGCCCAACATTAGGGAACTTACCCCAAATTTTCATGGATTTTTACTTCTAGGAACCCTACCATGTTCTCACAATGACAATCTGAGAAAAAAATTTTGGCATAGGAAGTGGGAAAAGTGTAGGGAACAGCCTCACTAAAAAACTGGCCCTCCCTGGTGGTGCAACGAGTTAAAGCACAGCACTGGTGCTAGTTCGATCCCCACCCCAGACCTCTCCTGTGTCATCTGCTGCTCCCCTCAGCAGTGCACTTCGTCATCTGCCTGTTCTGCACCCCAGTCTGCCTCTGGTGAATCCTCTCACTGTTTCTGTACTTTTGGCCTGTATCCCAGTTCTGTATGCATAAATAAATAAATCTTTTTTAAAAAACTGGCATTTACAACAAATGTTGGCGAGGATGTGGAGAAAAAGGAACTCTCTTGCACTGCTGGTGGTAATGCAAACTCGTACAACCACTATGGAAAACT